ACAAGAAATGGTCAGGACGACTCAATATGAGGATATCGAAACAAAAAGTTTGATGATGTTGACAACAGATATGAGCTTGGTGATGGATAAGAGTTTCGCGCTTGGGCTAAAAAGTACCATTTCCTTCTCTCGATCATTTGCATCTCTTGTCTCCTGCCTGGTCATGTGTCACACTACATATGTTCTTAACGCCCACTGACCGATGCTATCTTGTTTTTTTCAGATATGCAACAGATGAACAGGCATTCTTTCACGACTTCAGTCGTGCTTTTTCAAAGCTAATTGAGTTGGGTGTCCCAGAGAAAAATTTTGGTGGCAAGCAACCCTTTGAATTGAAAAACTTAGATGAAGCTTGACCAAACACATCAACAGCGTTACAAATTGAGGCTACGAGCCATGCTACATAACCACTCTTACCAACGTAGTTTGATGTATAAAAATTGATGTATAACACCTGATGGTTCCGGTCGTGTTGTGATTAAAATCATCTGTTGAAGTTTTCCTTGTGCTTGATTACATGGCTGGATTGAGTAGTCTCACAGCTTTATTCTCAATATGATCCATGTTTGCTCAGATGTAAAAGAATGATGTTTTTACACATGCTCTAGTTGCTTCCGTTACATCTCAATTGTAACGTGTCTGCAAGCTGACTCCATGTACAATGATTGAGGGAGACCTCACAGGAGACCGCTTGCTTTGCAACCTGCACAATCATCTTGTTCTCAAGCTTCATTTGCCCAAAGCCCTTTACAAAATTGCTACGCAGTGGGAGATCTGGCGTGCCCTACGCAGATGGTTCAAATTGAACTACCCAGGTCCCACACAGCCTCAGAGTACATGTTGCCTTCCCGCTGTGAGATTAGAGTGCGAGTGTTTGGGCACCAACTTTACTCATCTTGAACATGTCCAACAAGGGTGGGTGGGGATGGTAGATTGCATTTGATGTAGCAATCAGGTTGTCAACTGTATTCCGGTTGGCCTAGTACAATCATTACTTGTCTTGAAAGCTCATTTGCTGCAGTTACGGACTATCAAACAATATGTCTACTTTTTTGATTTTTTAATAATTGCCAATACAAACACATAGATATATTCAAGTCAACAAGTACCACTAACATGCTCTAACCATACAACTGGATAAAATAAAGAAAATCAATGGAACGCGATGTTATTGTTCCTAATGGTAATGATACATCCGCCATGAGATTGCATGAGGCGTTATTACTATAAACTATGTAGAATCAATTGAAAAGTTAGATAGCTGAGGTACCAGGAAGTTGCTCCCTGTTCGGCATTGGTTCACTTTGCGGACTTAAAAGTGAGCTTCGTTCGTTGGGGATCGTCGTCGCGTCCACTAAATTGATCAACAAGTGACGGGCGTCAAAAGATTGTACTAAGAAGAAAAAGGTTGAGAATTCGTACCTTCTCTAGGGCCACTCAAGTCGACATTTTCCATAAAAAGGGCGCTCAATAAACAGGGTAAAAGTGCCACCAAAGCCAATATATTCAACATACGCTGTGCCTCGACGTACGAGCTGTTGATCGACTCCCTTATAGGGCTGCCATCTGGAAAAGACAATATATAATCTAGATCTCCTACAATTCTGTCAATTCTGTCATGTTCTTCAAGAGGTAATCTTTTCCTCAACTCGAATGGTAAAATCGAGTTCCAAACAGCTCCTGCCATACTTGAACCGATAGCTCCTCCAATTTGAGTCACTGTCAGGAATACTGCGGTTGCGATTCCGACGTCTTGATGCGAGACTACAGCTTGGACACCCAATTGGGAGGCAAGGGTAGTGAAACCTCCGCCGAAACCAGCGATGACTTGAGAAATTACGATCTCGCTGATGGGGTTATCGAGGTTTCTTGCTCGTAGCATGAGCATTGCTCCAATTGAATGTGCCAGGACACCTACGATCTATTGTACTCCGTGTAGATAAAGTGATCAGAAAGAAGAATTGCGAAGAGAAGAGAAGGGAGGACTGACAACCCATATCTTGTACCGCCTGGACCATCGCACCAAAACCCCGCATAGTAAAGCCGATACGCAAGCAGTAAACATGTATGACTCCTGGATATATTGAGCATCTCGGGGTGACGACAATCTAACAACCTGTAGTGATCAGGTCAGTACCAAACAGGATACCCGAGCAGAAGAAAGTGAAATGATTACCTGTAAGAAGCTAGTGAAATAACTCTCATAAATATACTGGCACATAAAGTGCCAAAAGCATACGCTTGATCCCAATATAATGGTCCGCTGCTTCAGTAGACGAGATGGAATGATTGGATATGATGCGTATTTGGATTCGTATCTTGAAAATATCAAGAGTATGAGGACACCTCCGGACAATAATCCATAGAAGACACCTGTTTCCTGACATTAGACAACCGACGAGTAGTACAAATGTATAGAGCAATAGGTGAGACGCACTGACCAGGAGCCCAGTGACGAGTGACGTTATTACCAAAAGACAATGGCAACAGCATCATTCCAAATCCTAATGTCAACAACAAGATCCCTAGTACATCCAATTCAGACCACGTTTGTGTCCAAAGCTCTTGTGTAGCATTTCTCCTTCTACAATGATCATCAAGTAACGCCTGAGAATCCCTCCTCTGACGTGAGCGGGAAGGCATTTGAACGATGGGCGGTAGTATTGTAGCGTGTTGAGAGTCAACGCCGTGCGATTTTTTCCTTGATATCGAGCTCTCCCGTGTGTGATTGGTAGGTGGTCCCCAGTTCACGTCGTGAGACAATGCGTTTGCCCTTCGTAGGGCTCTCCATTCCCACCAAAGCACACCCACGAGCAACATTGCACAAAGAGGGACGAGGATACCAAAGACAACATAAATGATTCGATAGCCAAACTCGCCCATCTGCTTGAACCTCGCGCCAATCACAGGACCGATCCAAGTTGTGAAGATCCATGGTGAAGATATTGTAGAAGTTAATAGAGCGCGAGAAGCAAGTGAGGAGGTATCAGCAACGAGTATCATTTGAGCTAGTTGAAGGCCTTGTGATCCGAGTGCGGATGCAATGCGAGCGATTCCATATTGAGTCACGCTTGTGGCTGACGAGGTAAGGGTAGCACCTGATAGACCGACGTATCAAAACCGAGTTTAGTGTGGACTCAAGTACAATGACATTTAGGTATCTATATAAAGTGATCAAGATCATAATGAAGGAAACTCACCAATGAAATAAAGGACTGTGGCTATCATGACACCTTCTGCACGCCCGAATACATCCATGACCTTGCTCATCGGCGGTTTTCCAACAGCCCATGCAATCTGTTATAAGATGCAAATGTTCATATCAATGAATGTGTGGCAAGGAGTATGATGATAAGACTCACATTCGTTATGATTCCGATGGTGGACAGATGGCTATGACCACTGAAAAGGCTAAGATAATAAGGTTCCACAACTGGCAATGAATTGTTCTCGATTGACGTCACAGTTGACAAAAGACACATTCTGTCACAAAACGAGACCAAAGTTTTTGTTGTCAGTAGATCGGAATTGCGCAGAATTAGTTCTCTTGAGCTTCGACATTATAGCTGATGAAGTGCCTTAAGAGGGCAAGTTCGTATGCATCGAGTTTGAACATCTCTGGTAGTAGGGATCCGTTTTCAATGACCTTTCACTCACGCAATATAGACGCTTCGTACTCCCCAACCATTTCCCGATCTCAATCGAACTGCGATAGCCTCCATCTTCAAGACCCCAAAAGGCTTTGGTGGGATTTTTTCGTCCTCTTGCTCCTCCTCATCGTAAGCGATATTGGAATCCCAACACGAATTGTGGGGCGAGAGTAGGTGTTCAGATTCCCCGTCCATCTGTGATGGCGAATAAGCTGAGGCACCACTGAAAGGTGGGAGAGGTGAGGTCGGGTCACAGTGACGATTAGGCAGCCTCTTGGTGCCCATTGCTTCATCAACGATTGAGAGTGTACGAGCGAATTTGCATTCTATTCCCACTAAGAAAGAGCTCCGAGAGGGGCTAGGATGAAGTACAAGCGGGTAGCAGGATGACCGACGACGTGTCGGAAATGGGCGGGTAGGCTTTAAAGGGTGGTGAAAGCGAAGGTTGAGATCGTTAGTAGAGGCAGATTTCAAGATCGTTCGATGTAGAGGGAGAGACGAGGCGGATGTGCTCGATTGCCGAGTGTTATTCGATTCACCTGGAAAAGCAAGTAAGATTAAAGGGGCTCAGCAAGAGTCCAGGAGAGTATTCTCAGGAGTTGAGTTAAGTAAACTTGTGGCTGTGCTGTGTCCAATGGTTTACCTTGAGGGTTATCCGAATCGGTCGAGACGAGACATGTCGGACGGATGGGAGAAGAGGTAGAGTTTCGGTTTGGGGTCCAGCCGGAATCGATTGAATGAGCTGCGATAACCACACAAATCAGTAATGTTGATACTTCACTTGATTACAGGATAAGTTAGAGAGACATAAGGATTGAAAAGTGGAAAAAGTAGGAATGATGTCATTCAGACGCTTACTCGGTCCTGCTTCAAGTTGTGGAGATGGTTTCAATGGCATATTTTGGTGACGATATCCAAATTGGAATGGAAAATCGAGAATCAAGTGAAAGTTCAGCGTAGGAGAAGTCAAAGCTACATAAAAATAAGGGGTAGAGTTATACAAGTCAATTGTCAACTTCAAATACCCACAATGGGCCTTTGACTCCAGGCACAATCTGAACTCAAGTAAAGCTCACTCAACCAGCCCAGGAATTATTGGACCCAAACTTCTATATCTTTGCAACGAGAAGCCGTAAATAGGTTTTGCTGAGAAAGCTGTTTGTAAGAAGTGCACCGAATGAGATGTTTGCCAATTCGGTTTGGCAGGGTTTGGCACAAGTAGGAAAACTGATTGGGAGTAACATATGTACGTACGCACCACGGACCCATGGTCCGTTGTGATTCCTTGATCGTCATCGACTTGGCCGTGAAGCCGCGCTTTGTGACTGGCCTTATGGATACTCGACAAAATAGAGTGAAGATCTGTGAAGATGACATAAGAATATTGCAACATTGTTAACAACTCTCAATATAATGATATCGCTACCTATATTGTTGACTACGATGTGCCGCCTACCTTGTTTCTCCACAAAGTTATCAACAAGATGGCCGCTAACACAGTAGTCAGCTTTGCTCGCCACGTTCCTTGTGAATTCAAGAGGGATTTGGTAGGAGTGTTGACATACACCACAAAGACACTGGGACTGGATTCAGCACTTCTTCACAACGGTGCTATTCTTCTTAAACTTGCGTATGTGGTTCTTGCGCTCAACTCGGTAAGTCATAATCCCTGCAGAGTCACTTAATCTTCCAACCCCTGCGAATCTATATTTCTCTTTCATTCTTACTTTCACTTGATTGTATATATAAACCTCTGTCATCTGAGTGTTATTAACGGCCTGTAAGAAGCCAGTATTACTATTAGTAACTCACATCCATAGAATACACAAATTGATAGACTCCCATAAGTATGATCAGTGAAGTAAGATCGTATGCAGCTTTTGATCTTGAACACTTTGCCAAACATCTTGAAATTTGCTGTAGATAGAATGTTTGAGGCGAGCTCTAAATCCCAGACCACGCATGGTATAAATGTTTTAATAATCTAGCATTTCAAGCTTTCAAATCAGAGACAAACCCCTCAAGTCAGATCCTTCATTCCCGCTATGTATATACACAATGTCTCTAAGTCAGATAATCGAAAGAAAAGAACATCCAAATCGCAAACATACACCTTCATACAGATCACAAGAGGAAAAGAATACAAATATTGCAATTGATAAGTTGGGATCATCTAGCCCACTTCTGTTGCAGTTGGTCAACAGTGCAAAAATGACGGGATAAGAAGTAGGGTCTTGCGTTTTGATAGTAAGGTCATTTCACTCAATTAAGCATTTCATTTGGTAGATAATAACCTTTCAGAGGACGTGGAAACATGGGTTGCGTATCGTCGAATATAGGATCGGTCCATCTCTTGCGTCTTCCAGGTTCGATTTCATTCTGATTACTGAAGTTCTTCCCTATACAAAGCCTTTGATTTTCCACTGGCAAAGTGATCTGCGCCAATTTTGAGGGCTGCATCACAACAATACCGGCGAATCCAGCGGCCAAATGCCATCCGATATGACAGTGTAGGATGAAAGGTCCAACCTGTCGGAATGGAATGTGGAAAGACCGGTGCACACGATGTTTGGTAAATTGTTACTTCGTTACTCTCTACAAAAATACAAAGTAGGTTGTACTTACGTTTCGGACATGTACTCGAACTACCGAAATATTGGATTATAAGTGCCAAGTTAGCTCAGGAGCTCCACAAAGCCTGGAAAATATAAGCCAGATATGTGAGAAAAGTGAGACCTCACCGATCAGATGACTACCACCTCCCACGACGTATGTCTGATAGCAGAGCAATTTTATCAGATATTTACGATCAAAATGCATAACAATCACACAAACGATCAACTCACATCTTTTCGTAATGGGTTTGTCAATCGGTATTTGAGATTCTTCAAATCTTGTGGTCCAACGTTCCCCGGACCGTGACTCACAAGGTCTAATACATATCATCCATTTCAGATTACGTTTCAAGCGGAAAAAAATGGGAATTCATGGGCCTTACATGAATCCACTCCGTCTGTAGCAATATACAAAAAGAAGGAAGGCAGTCAGAAAATCATAGTCAAAAGGTAAAAAACGTGAGTTTGAACAATCCTACTCACGTAGATGTAAAGGGTGATCGATAGCAGAGTCGAGGTTGTTAATCACAATGTCGTAGGCTCCGGGTTTCTCGAGTGTCAATGTGGCAGCTTCAGATTGGTTGACGAAGCCCTTCCCCCCCTTAAGTAAGTCTGATATGATTGGTTTGTACCGATAAGCTTCGATAGACAAAGAAAAAGAAAAAGATTGATCTTTTCAGAGGTCCTTCAGTAGTTGCGCCTTGCGAGTGAAGTGAAGCTCACTGGTCCATGTGGTATTGTCCACGAAAAAACGACTGAGACTTTCAAGTTTGCTCGAGTTGTTTGGATTGGCCTGAAGCACTGTTCCCAGACTGGTGTTGAAGAATAGCTAGATGTAGGAGAATTTGTCATCATAATGTATCACCAATTCGCATCATAGAAACTACAGCTTACGTGGCCTAGTACGTTTTGAGCGCAAACTTTGGTCATCAAGGGTGAAAGCAGATCTATATCCAAATCTGTACAATTCCCTCCAACAGTGTCTTTCCAGTCTCGCGTGGTGGGTGGCAAGGTGTCTAAAGTGCCATTGTTCGGTGCAACAACTCGTACAATGGCTAGCGCCGTAGCATCGGGACCAGTCATTCCGGGAGCGACTGAAAAAGTTGTCAGCCGAAGACTTTGACACTTCATAATAAGGATAAATCTTACGCCATGCCCCTGAGAGAAATTTGAATAGTGTATGAGACAAAATGTTAGCCTCGCTAAATACAAATGAAGCCATTCATCCAACTCACAGCAATCGGTATCCATCGCTGCTCGAAGGTAAAAGGAGCTTCCGTCTGGATCCAGTTTCGTATCGATTATCACACTATACCTGATCAGAGTGATCATGGATTCAACATCCCACACTTAAAATTTAGGCATAATGGAAAGTGCGACTCACCTTTCTCCATTGTGAAACTGTAACCGGTGCAATCCTGGAGGCCCAGAAACCCCTGTCGAATCTGCTTCTGTAACATTCAGAAAGTGTTGATCCGCAGAGAACCAGAACATTGCATGCGAGCCTGCTTGGATCAAACGGAATCTTGTCTTCTGGTTCGGGGCGACGGTGATTTCTAGAGGCTTTGTAGGGGTTATGCATTTCGATCCACGATCTGCAAAGGAGCAGTTGAAAATTCCGACGCCGTTGATGATAGCGCTATTGGCCTGGCATGGTAAGAAAAATAAAATTAGCGAGACTTGAATCTAAGTACCTATGAAGATTTTAAACTCGCCGATGGTGCTGCTGGAGTCCCAAAATAACCATTCGCTGATAGAGTCCCGTTTAAGATGACTGTACTTATGCTAGTCATATTTCAAGGTGGATTCGATTGGTAAGTTTGACTTCCTAAACAATAGATAATCAAGTATTCGAGCTCACTTGTGGTACCAATCACTGTTTTGAAGGCATGATGGGTGAGAAAATTCTTTGAGGCTGTTTCCACTCTTGCTTGAAAGTTCTGAAGTCGTAGTGAATAGGCAATAATGAGATTGACTGACCTCATGAACAGTATGTATTCATTATCAAAATCTCTTCCTTTCACCAGAGGGTCCCGAGGACTATGAATAATCAATGGACCCGCGATTCCGTCGATGGCCAAATTCCGAGTGTGTGCCTGAGATGGTTGGACAGTTTAGCATCAGACTCAACATTTGTAATTGGACATCCCTGAAAACAAGTCCGTTTGGATGCCTAGCTTACATGATACCCTGAATATAGCCGCAATACCGTGGAAATGTCAATAAGTTAGCTGTAGGATGAAGAGAGCGTATTAAGCACTCAACAGAATGTCCCGAACTGCTTTGCAACCGTGAATTTATAAGTAAAAGAGGCTCCTGGGGGAATTGGGCACTGAGTGACACCTATATGCCGAATTTTTAAGCTTGAGTTTATCCAGAAAGAAACAAAACTTCTACCCCAGCTAACCTGTGACGCCGTCCATCTGCGAAAAAAGCAGGGGAAAGGCCCATGATAGGTTAGAGATTTGACTACGTCACCATTCTGTCAATCAGATCCGTACCCAAGGCGTTCCTGTTTGCCAGATGCCATGCCAGTGTATGGAAACGTCTGTATCAAGACGGTTGTCCACCCGGATCTCGAGAGTATCACCCTGGTAGTTCGATATAGGCAATATTCGAAAGGATAGAAGGACATGATCCACATAAGCGTACTGGGAGAAGCTCGTTTAAAGTTGTACCTTCTAGAAAACACTGACTTCGTTGCAACGGATCAAGGGGGCAGGTAGCTGATTGTTGATGACAAGAAGTGGTCTGAATTATGAAAAGTGAGCCCATGAGCTCACCATTGCTCAATTGAACTAGAATGAAGAAGCCCTCACCTTGTGTAACCGTCGGGTGCTCCGGTTGTGTTCCTACATGAAAGAGTTAGGTTTGTGCGACTAAACAAAGAAGACATGCGTAGGTAGAGACGGACGTGATCACAAAATCATATTTCCGCGTCCGTGTGATCGATGTAATTTCAAACTCGTGGTCAGAGAGATACAGCTCAGAGGAGTTAAAAGTTACCGCGCGAGCCTGATAAGCAACTAGGGCAAGTACGCATAGGACGCTGCGGAGATTCAAACCCATGGCGATTTGGAAGCGCTGACGCTGTGATGATGTCCTTTTATCGTACTCTTTGTGTGAATGAGATAACTCGAATGAAAGCCGAGGTTAATTAGGAGAGGACAGTCCTGATGATCTTAGTAGCAAGGTGTGTTCAGCGACGAATTAGTACTGGAAAGTACTTCAACCTGAGAAGGGATGAAATGAGATGAAGGCTGTGGGACAAGCTTGGAGGAAGGCTCTTTAACCTAAATATTGTCGGGTCTCAGGAAGAGATTCCACACCATAGCGTCCCTTGTGATGATGTGTGAATGAGTTGTTTGTGCGTTGAATGATCAATTCCATAAAAGCTATCTGGATCGAAAGAGGTGATGTGTGCGGCAGGCCGGCTAGGCCATGCAAGCACAGGATGAAGACTACAACAAGATTGTTGGAGAGAACAAACCAATCAGTCATGATTCTTGCCGCAATATGATTATGCCTCAACTCCAATGCCGTCTTTGTCCCGTTCTTTGCCTCGCTTCATTCGAAGCTCCGTCTTACAGGCATTTTTATTTGTTTGACCAACCCACTTCATCACATACCGATTGAAGGACAAAAACACATAGGCCCAGTGTGCTCGTGGTTAGGCTGATATTCTTTCTCTTCTCCGAAAGACGTTGTAGATACCAATGCACTGCAGAATATTTTAAAGTTCTTCACAACTGAAAAGGAATGTAAACTTGCGTCAAATTCATACAAACACGATTAAACGGACACACCTTTGCATATCTTATGCACGTCCCAAGAGACTAAGAATCAAGGTATTTGTTTGTACATCTGCCCGTTGGTATTCACCAGCGGAGTTGAGCTTTTAGACCCAGGTGTTGACAAGAGCCATATGGATTTATGGAAATAATTAATAGAAAGAATGATGAGGAATTGTACTCCGTTTGATGTATGAGCTAGAGGTACCATTTGTGGCGGGTCCAAACAAACGAAGGAGATGGGCCACAAGCTGAGGTGACCAGATGACGCACTTTGATTGATTTCTTACACTCATGCACTAGACTTTTGCTCATTCGTCTGTTTGCGTAGGATGTGCGCTGCGGGCACACGCGATCAGTATCATGGGTTACATCTGTGAGTGTGTGTGCGATAGCATAAAAAGAACGCGATATGCAGCACGCACTCCACTTGGTAAGACTTAACGGTTATGATACTTCGAAATCAACTCGCTGGTTGAAGCGCCTCGGGGATGGGTTAGGCGCTAATGTGAGTTGTGTGACTGACCAGCTAGCGGATAGACATTCTTGTTTCCTTTGTGAGAGCTGCCTTTGGACGACGAAATTTGGGCTTTGCATTGCAACTGATGTGACAAGTGCTTCTGGTTGTTGAATGACCGCTGGAGAACATTTGTTGAAGAATTCTGTGCTCGGCTAACAGGGAGCGCATAGACGGAGTTTGTAAGGAAGAAACTAAAGGTAAGTTTATGAGGGATTTGTCATATGTATGGAAGCAACAAGCAGCATGAGGGATTTTGCCGGTCGCGATCGGTTCCAACAAAGTGCTCACTTAGTGTACAATACAAAGAAGTTGTCCACACACCTTCATTTATTCTACAAGATCAGCAATCTTTTCACCTCGGCATCTAGTATGTATCATGGCATCTCTTTCGGCAGAAGCTAAGAGGAAATTTTGACTTCAGGTCCTCTTGAGATTACTTGATTGAAATTTGAACGTTTTCAAGGAAGGAGTTGTTACACCGCGGGAATGGAATACAGGGGAAGTGGAAAACTAATGGACAAAACCCCCAAAACAATTGGGTTGTCATGGGTTTTGTCCATGGGTTTTCAGGTGGGGTGTTCAAGTTTGTGTACCACTGATCTCTTTCTTTTGAAGCACTTCATGTATTTTATTTCAGAAATTAGCTTGGGATGAAGATAAAAAAACGGAAAGCTACGGACTCAGAAACTGGAAGTTGGTACGGGTATTGACAGACGGGAATAAGTCAAGAAAGGATGCTGGATACTGGTATTATAAAAAATTATTTCCATTAATCCTACATTCTATTATCATAAGTCTATTGTTGTTTTCATAAATTTCCATCATATAATTACCTCCCACCCACCCGGGCCATGGGCAAAAAACCAGTCATGAGTAGTTATTTGTTCCCTGATTTTTCTTTTCAGATGACATTCAAAAAAGGTACATAGTGTTAGAAATTATTGTAAAAGGGGTCAATCATTGTCAGACATGAGGGCCACCCGCAGACCTTCTGGCTTTTTCTCACTAATTCCTTCTGTCTACATGTCATGTCTGTTTCTCTTTTCTCAAGCTTTTATTCATGCTAATAAAAGCCGCCTCTGTGGCCGTTAAGCATAGTAACCCAGACAACAGTAATAAAAATTGAATGTTGTGTAGCAGCATCATGCTAAGAAGCAAATACATTGCTAAGGAGCAGGTACATCTAATTGGGCATTAGGGGTTTCAGGTTTGAATTTTTTTTGTGTCTTTTTTAAAAATTCTGGCAAGTTTTTTGTAAAAGAATCTTTGTAAAACTAGTGTATTTTTAATCTGGGACATCTAAAAAAGCATTGTGGGGATCAAGTCTTAAGACAGTGAAAATCTTGAGGGGGAGTGTTAAATTATGATTTATGTAGTCAATAATTTCATGTGTTGTTACATTTACATCAGTGACATCGTTCCAATTTAGAGCACATCTTGAATGTTTGGTAGAACTGAGGTAGCAGTGAAGAAGGAAGCAAGAATTAACTTTAGCTTGACTGTCTGTGTGGAATGAGAAAGTTCAAGAAAGGGGTGAAAGTGTATTGGATGGTAGCGGTTATGCAGGGGTGTTGGTTGTGTCAAGTTCTCAAATTTTGTGTTCTATTTTTTCTCATATATACTGTCTCTTGTTTGTTTCCCTTGAGAACTTTTTCCTCACTGTTTGGGGATAATGATTACATTGGTTATAATGATTTTTGTTTTTCACTTCTTTTGTCATTATCCAAGATACCAACTATTTTACTACATACTATCTTATACTATTACTACTTTCATTTTACTACTTCATTCACTCTTAGTTTCCTTTTTCCAAAACCTCAGGTTTTCCATCCTTCATATCTCATCAAGTCTTGTCAACTTTCTGTCATGAGATTTGATATCTTTTCTTTTTGTTAGAGGTTTGCCATTCTTCATATCCCATTGAGTCTTGTCAACTTGCTGTTGTGAGACTTGATATCCTTTTGTTTTGTTAAAGGCACTGTTGTTGTTGTTGAGAATTATCTCCAGCTTATTCTTTTTTAAGCAACAATCACATTTGTTAAATCTTTATTTGACCATCATCAACTATCATTGGCCAATTTCTCAAAATGACCAAAAACCCAAACTCTGGTCAAACTCATTTTCCAAAACTTGCTAAAAACAACTATGTCAAGTGATCAGGTCACATCATTGCTCATCTGATGACAATGAATTGCAAAGAATTAATTAACATCAACACACCACCAATTGAACCTGTCAAAAACACTACCACTGGTGCTTCTGTTGCTATTGCTTTATTCTGCACCAAGAGAAAGAAGGCAGCTGGAATCCATTATGGTTCATCAATTGGACAACTGCATCCAATTCACTGCCAAGTATGCTGTTTCTGATCCTGTTGAGATCAGATTCTAAGGGATCACTTCCAATCTTTGTTGGACAAAAATCAAGCAAGAGCTATCTCAAATCCAGTGATCTCATCGTCACCACCAATCTTGAGACCTACATCACCAACACTCAGCATGTTTTAGCTGGGATGTTAGCTATAGATAGTATCAAACACATCTCTCAGTCTTACCTAGTTGACACCATTGTGACAAAGCTTCCACCTTCTATGGACACCACTAAAACCCCTCTAAAAAAGGAGAAACTCTTAACAACCAACCAGGTTCTCACTTACCTTAAATCTCATTTATCCTCCATGAAGGATGAAGCAACTCACAACAACACTGTTGCTCTTGCTGTACATCAAACTAGATCTTCACAACAATCTACCACTCAATGTGTTCTTCATTTCAATTGTCCTGCCATTGCTTACTGCTCCAATGGCCAACATAACACTGATGTCAAAAGTCATACTTTGGCTGAGTGTTATCAGGTTAATCCTGATCTCTGTCCACCACAAACTGTCAGTGCTCATCCCAGAGTATTGGCTACAGTTGTTTTGGTTTCTTTCAATGAAGCACAGGCTTTTGTTGTGATTTCCTCCAACCACAACTCTATCTTGCTGGAAAGTGGCTGTTTGCATCATATGGCCCCTGATTGAGATCTCTTTGAACAATACTTGAAGCAATCTCTTCCACTGTGGCTCTGGCCAATGGAATGTCTATAAGATTGCTGGGAAACACAACATTTGATGAAACTGTGCTGACAACAAGATTATCCTTGAAGCACTGAATGTTCCTGGACTAGGATGTTGCTTGATCAGCACAGGTGCTCTTGTGATGGATGTTTACAGCATTCAAATTACATTGCTGACATCATCATGACTAAATCAGGACCTGAAGAATTTTTCAGTCATGTTCACAATCAGGTCATCAAGCTCAAAATCACCTTAGACATGTCTGTTTCCACTCCGTTCCCACATTCCAATGTCTCGATCTCTGACTACAATATGCTACACAGACACGGAGATCATCCTGAATCCAACCACCTTGGGATAATGTATGATGTGAATCCACCCTCAGAATGGAGCTACAACATCTGTGGCCTTTCTAAAGGTCATTGTCTTCTTTATCCTGGCCATTTTCCCTCCTTTGTATTTCCTCTAGACATGGTCCACAGTGACCTAAGTGGAAAAGTCTCAGTGCCATCTGAAGGCGGAGGACAGTATTATTTCAAACTCACAGACTCTTGTACCAATTATGAATATGTATACATTATGAAATCAAAATCAGAAACTTTTTCATGCTTTTTAAAATTCAAAAACAATGTTGAGACCTTTCATAAAAATAAAATTGTAGGTTTAATAGATGATCAGGGTGGAGAATTAATGGCATGTG